AGCTTTGCAATTAGAAGAGGAAAGAGAAATTTTGCCCATACGAATTGACTTGTCTTGTTTCCTCCTCCTAATTAAATGATCAATGATAAATGGTTGCAAAATCCATCCGGAAAAAACATCTAGATATGGGCATCTGGGGGGACTGTGCACGAGGAGGGCAAATGACAGTCTGTGTGTCATGATGTTGCAATGCAAATGAAATTATCTTTTGTACTTACATCACAACCTCATATGCAGATACTAAGGGGCAGGGTTTATCTTGTGTTATCTAATTTGGTAACGAAATATCTGCAAGAAAACAACCAAGCTCAGAGAGCAGCAAATGATCTCACCGTTCAGCCCTGAGCTGCAAATATTCTTTATCGATTACATTACTCACTTCCTCCAAAGCCTCCATGGCTCCTTGAGAAATAATTCCTCCTTCACACTATTCAAGAATACGGGGGCAAATTTAGCCAAATAACCCATGTAGAGTTCTCTCTTTTTAAGTTCATCTGTTCAATAATGTCCTATTCTTGGAGACTGCCTGGACCTATCCCTGCAGTTTACTTGGCAAATGTTTCAGAAGTGATTTGCCATTGCCTCCTTTCTAGGGCTGAATGAAATGATTGACCCATGATCAACCGGCTGGCTTTGTGCTTAAGACAGGGCTAGAACTCATGGTCTTCCAGTTTCTAGCCTGATGCCTTAATCACTTCACTGTCAGTTTACGAGAGGTCAAAGTTATTAGGAGAACGTTTGTGTTTTTGTAAGTTTATATTATGTTAAATTTGAATTATTAGGCAGCCAGTTCAAGGCAAAAAAAATTTCTGTGGGTGGTGGTGGTGAGGATTTTATTTTGTAAAATTATGTTAAGCCTTCCTTAAGGCTTGTAGTACAATTTTTCTCATCTTGAAATTACAAACTGGGCCACTGTGTTTTTTTTCGCATTTATGATTGGGGGAGCCTCTGAGTATTTTTTTTTTTTAAGTTTTCAGACACTTTGTAGTCCTGGGGCCCCAGGTTGTCCATTCTTGTGGGAGCTAAAGGAAGTGGCATGATAAAGGAGCATTTGGTGCAAGGCCTTTTTTAGAGAGAATCATCATTGTTATTTGCTTTGTCATTTTAACCAACAGAAAAGCAGCATAGAAACACAAGAAGGACTCTCAGGCCTGCTGGCCAAAATTGCAGAGCTTTTTCTTCTGTAGACAGAGGCATCCTAAGAAATATTTCCCACCAGCAGAGCACTGACCTAAGCAGTTAAATATTGCTTCCTTTTTCTTCTCAATCTGGAACAAGTTCATCCTGCCTTGCTCCTTTGTTTTGGAGCACCTGCAAATTGATGCAATGTTTCCTTAACTCCAGGAGCGTCCTTGAGGAAGCATCCTCCCTCTGTCTCTTTTGCTTTGCAAAATGTCTTGAGACATTGTGTACCTAGGGAGAAGTACACGACATGGTCAGTGCCAAGATTCCCATGCTGGATACCAGTACAGTAGTGGCTGCATCCGCAACTCTGCTTTTGATTAGCAGTTATTGTTATTCTGTAAGCTTTGAGTCTGGTTCTCTTCCAAAGTTCGGGGCCATTTTTCAAACTGACATCCAATGCCTGCCAACCTGTGCGTAGAAAGTCATGTTCAAGGGAGGAAGCTGGCAAGGTGATGCTGATTTATTATTTACATAGGACTAATTTTGAAACAGTGGTTCACCTTAGGATGACCTTTCCCTAGAATGTGCTTTGCTCTGGTTTTTTTTTTAAAAGAACAAATATTTTGTCTAAATCAATTCCCATAAATAAAGGATTCCTAGATGTTGCAGTATAAACAAGTGGCATTTCTAATTACACAAAGACTGCTTATGGAGAAATGGTCAATTTCACAATGTTCAAGACTTCAGGCAGGGATTACTAATGCATGTAAGGAGGAGAAAGCCTGGTTTCCTTTTTAAAATTGCATACATTAAGTATTTTATACATAAATCCCAGAGCTGTTTGACATTTCAAGTTCTGAAGATGAACCAGGCTAGATTTAGCCAGCAGTCTCTGGTGTGTGGGCAGTAGTCAGTCATTACTCAGATTTACAGACAATAGGAGAATATTCTTTATGAATATGCAAGGGTATACATGGCCATAGAGTTAGAGCAAAGTAGAAATTAAGAAAATATTTTACGCAGTATGCATAAGCACATAGTGGCTTCGTTGCAATATTTGTTGCCTCCCTCTGCTTTGCATAAACATTTAGCAGTGAAGGAAGTAAAAGTTGGGATGGGATGGGAAGAGAAAATTAATAAAAGCATTTTATACCATCATTGATTTCCTGAAAATAAAATGTGGCCCGTTTCCAAGTCCTTATATTCCCTCAAAATACCTTGGATCTTTTGCCAAGACCCTTTCAACTTTGGTCAGAGCACAGCTCTAGCAGTTTAGACAAGTCAGGACAGATTTTTAATTCTGTTTTTACTATCCCCACTTAGGAACATCTGCAAAGTATTGCTTTGTATTTGTGATTGTAGAGTTATGTTAGCTGACAAATGGTGGTAGAGCAGGAGTTGCACCCAAGGAAAGGTGAGGTAGGGGTGATCAAAACCTTTTGGCTTTTTGGCTCTTGTAAGTACAGTATAAGCACTGTGACGGAGAGGCGCTGTTCTCCAATAGGTCTGTCATAAATTCAGAACAACGCTACAATTTCCAAACTGCAACAGATATCTGGGTGGTGAATCTATGGGTGTGTGCGGGGGGGGGGAGTTCTCTTGAATATGGACTATGGAATGCAGGGTCCTGGCAGGAAAGACTTGAGTTTGGACAAACAGAGAGAGGTGTCTGTCCAATTGCCCAAAGCCCTGAGAGCTTGAAGGAGTTTGAGAGAGTAGTCTGAGGGACAGGTTAAGATCCATAAACAACAAAAGAAAACGAAAGAACGAAGCCTGTGATTGTGGGTTGCAGGTTTCTTTGAATCCATTGAGGGTTCTTTGACTAGAAAACTGACCCAGAGAAAGTCAACTCCAAGAAGAAGAAGATGGAATGTCCTTTTAATAAACACAAATTCTTAAGTCTCAGCTTGATCTTTCTTCTTTTCTCCAGGGAGCAACACCTAAACGAATATGAGGTGGACGTGTCTTCCACAGTTGCAAATTTTAGTTTTGAATTTAGTTTTGAACTTACCCTTTTGAAAAACTACCTTTGCTGCATTTTCTCCATTGCTAACTGGGAACAAGCCAGCTCTTTCTCACAATTTGAATCCAACACTCAAGGTGGACTCAGCAGTCTCTACACAGTCCTGGTCTTTTGGGGGGTGTTTATAGGCTTCTGTGATCTAGTAGAATGTAATTAAAAGGCTGCGGTGGCATAACAGTCGTGAGAGAAATTCAAGGGTTGACTATATTGAGGAGCAGATCTCTGCTACGACTGAGCCTGTTTGCCTTTCTTGGAATGAGTGGCACTTTACAAAGTTTAAAGCATCCATTTTGAGCCGTAAACCCTCCCCAAGTGAAAAAGACAAGAGTCTAAATATTGCTGTTCTGCTCCTTCCAAAAGAACTCAGGAGCTGCAAAATGGAGCTGAGTTGTCCATGCAGTTTAAGAGCACCAGAGAGGCAAAGTACATTTCCCCTGAGACACCTACATTCTTTTAATAGAACACAGTTTGTTTTTCATCAGCAATGTCACAGAAAGGTTTAGAAAACACCTCCAGTCCCGCAAGGTTATTGCACATTCAGCAAAGTGATCAGTGTGTGCGTGTGTGTCTCACTGCATGGTGGGCTGCAGGTAGCAGACATGGCCTTCTCTTACCCTTTCTCCGCTTTGCCTGCTTTAGTCACTGGAGCTCCCTCCAAGGACTTTCGAAGCTGTTTTTCAGCCCAAACACAAGCTAAGCGATCTTCCCTGCTTTGCCTGCTTTTCTAATTGCTGCTCCCTCTGACAATCAGCTGTGCCTTAGAAGCACAGCCATTGAGGAGGGTTGCTCCCGGTTCGGCCAAACCGGTAGTGGAATTCGGGCCTGGGTTGCAAAACTGACAGTGACCCAGGCCTGCCACACCCCTGAACTGGTTCCCTCACCGCCACTGGGCCGCCACCATTTTGTATTTTAGTGACTGTGCATGCACAGTTCATTGTAAATTGCTCTGCGTATGCGCAAACAACAATATACATTGAAAAGTGAATGTGTGCAGGTTGCGAACCGGTAGTAAAACTGGCAGCAACCCACCCCTGCACATCCCCCACCATCCCCAACCTCAAAACCAGAGAGCGAACTAATATGCTGAAGCTGACCAGGCTAAGGACAAGCCAGATGAATACCTAGTAGGCAGAATTTTTGCCCCCTTTCCTCCCCAAAAACTAAAGTGCGCCTTATACTTTGGTGCGCCTTATACTCTGAAAAATATGGTAGTTTTAATTTACCTCCATTCTGACTTCACATTTCAGGGTAAATATGAAATAATATTCTGAAGTAAGATGCAAAACCTTCAGAGGGTAATACGCCCTCTGCTTGCCCTTTCTCTCAGGGTGAGAAAAGGCATTTTATCTATTGATTTCTTTATCCCATATGACCAGCTTTCTTCCTTCCCCTCTCTTTTTCCCCCCCAAAACTCCCAAGAAGAAAATAGAATGTCCTCTTAATGAAGCAAAGGAATACAGTAATGAGAAAAAGATGGTCTTCTTGAAGTATTGGATTATGCTTCTCCGTTGGAAACAGCCTTAAAGTAGTACTGCCAGCACAAGACTGTTAGGAAGTAATAGGAAGAAAGGGAGACCCTCCATTTAACTGTGCAATAACGTTGATGGACAAAACCAGCCGACAATGCAAAATTTCTTTTATTCCACTGTGGTTCTTTGCTGTATATTGCCAGGCATCTAAAGCTCCTCCTCCCCCATGTACAGTTTGGTCTCTTACTTAAGCTACCCATCCACTCCCAGCAATAGCATTCTGTAGGCATATGCGAAGAATGGGCAAGGAGTGCTTTGCCCTCCTGATGCAGAGGGAGAGGAAAACCTAAAAGAAACTCTTATGCAATTGTCTCCACCTTGGTGTTTTGAGAGTGTTTTGTGTATGTGTGTGCATGCATGTCTATGTGTCTCTCGTTTTGTGTTTTGCAAGGCAGCTGTGTTCCCCTGGTAATGGCAGGAGGGTGTGAAGGGGCACTTAACTGACACAGAGTGTGAACCCATCAAAGCCTTTGAGGTGAGCAATTTTGTGTAGAGGAATAAGATCAAAAGGGAAATATAGAGATAGCCGTGTCATCTGAAGGTATTACACAGAGCAGGGGCTGGGGAGATAGCATCATCACCCATCTCCATGTTGCACCATTGGCAGAGGGAGTCTTGATGGTCCCCTGAAAGTGCAGTTGGATTGTCCTGGCATAGTAGAGGAGACACTATTTGCATCAATTTTGTCCTCTCTGTCCCTTGTGGCCAATCCACCATTAGTGGTGTGCCAAGCTCCTACTGCTGGTGTCACCATTATCTAGTCCCCAGAGCAAGTTCAAGTTCACCCTATGTCCCACCCAAGCCCTTAACCTTTGGTAGGACCATGCTTGCATCTTGCCCTCCATTTTCCTGGATGCTGATGTCCATCCCCCTTCATTCCAGAGATGCTTCAGAGGAATAGGGGAAAATGGGTCTAAGCCTATGCTGAGAAATGATAATTCCCCCCTTGCCCTCTTTGCTTAACTCTTCCTCTGTTCCTGTTCTTTCTTTTTCTGTTTTTCTTTGTGTTTCTCCATCTTTTCCTGGGCTTTCTTCTCTTTCTCGACTGCTGCATTCAGCTCCTTTACCTTTCTCTTTAAAAGAGACCGATCGTGAGAGTTGCTGACACCCAGGGCCTGTGGAGATGGAGGAAGGATATAGCTGTAAAATCAAGAGATGCATAGGGAGCCCAGTGCATATTCTTGTAGTCCCTTAAGTTATTGTGGTTTCTAATGGAAATAATAATAATAATTCATACTTCAGCAGCAAAAGGATTGATTTGGGGACTGCATCTCTCATTTTCACTTATTGCGCTCCTGCACTAAATACTGTGGATATTTTGTGCTCTTGACTAAGTCACAATGGATTGCTTTATATATAATTTTATTAGGCATCAAATACCACCAATTATTGGGTGTCTTCATAGTTTTATCACAGCAAGATAAAACCATTAAACCAAAGCTAAAGATGGTAACTTTAAAAAAAATCAAAATTGCCAGTGATTTTATTGTCCAAAGAGATTATTTTCAAAGCCTTTTTAAAACACGCACATTAGGTTCCTCCACTCCTCAATGATTGCATTCCAAAGAATCAGGGAAGCCACATAAAGGGCTCAGTTTGAAATGACTGAAAGGCAGCCTACAGAATACTGAAGCATTTTTTTGGTGCTCAGTAAACAGATTTGTCTAGTTTAATGAAAAGAAGAACTAGGGGAGAATGACAGCAGTGTTCCAATATCTCAGGGTTGCCACAAAGAAGAAGGAGTCAAACTATTCTCCAAGACACCCGAGGGAAGAACAAGAAGCAATGGGTGGAAACTAATGAAGGAAAGAAGCAACTTAGAACTAAGAAATTTCCTGACAGAACAATTAATCAGTGGAACTAATTTGCCTCCAGAAGTTGTGAATTCTCCAATACTGGAAGTTTTAAAGAAGATGTTGGATAACCATTTGTGTGTAGGGTTTCTTGCCTAGGCAGGGGGTTGGACTAGAAGACCTCCAAGGTCCCTTCCAACTCTGTTATTCTATTCTATTCTAATCATTTACCTCTCAAATGTATGCATATATGCATGAGACTAGTCAAAAGGAATGCAACCCATATATTTCTGTGCATGAATCCAGGCATTCTCTCCCTCTCCCTCTCTCTCTCTCTCTCTCTCTCTCTCTCTCTCTCCCTCTCTCTCTCTCTCTCTCCCCTCCCATCTCCTTTTTACAATCAGAGAGAGAAGTGCAGGTAGTCTTTGACTTATAACAGTTCATTTAGTGACTGTTCAAAGCACCGGAAAACAGTGACATGACCATTTTTCTTGCTTGTGACCATTACAGCCAGATTTACTTAACAATCATATTACTAACTTAACAACCGCAGCGATGGACTTGACAACTGTGGCAAGAAAGATTAAAAAATGGGGCGAAACTCAGTTAATAGCTGTCTTATTTAGCAACAGAAACTTTGGGCACAATTGTCATAAGTCTACTGACTACTGTAATCAGAGTAATTGGACTTGGCCCAACCTATCTGAAAAATATAAGGAAGCTCAGCTTAAAGTGATACGATTGGAGTAAAACTTTGATATTTGTTGATGAAATTGTCAGTCCTAAACTGTATGGATAAAGAATCTGACCTGATATGTAATGCTATATTCCTATGATTCCTTGCATTTCAGATATGACTTGGATGTTTAAATGATCCAGATCGTTTACTAAAAATTTGTCAACTTGGAATCCATTTGGAGAAAAATGATTAAAACACCTGCTAGTAGAAATGCCTACATTTAAGATCTGTGCTTACCATACATATTGAACTTTTTCTACTAGAACACGTAGAACATTGTTCTATCAATGTTAAATTTATACTTGCAAAACCAAAAATATGGACTTTTTTTTTTTTTGCCAAACAGCATTTCATTTTCATAAATTGGTCAAAAACACATTTTCAGATAATCTTCTCTACTACCTTCAATTTGGCTCCATCAAGGAGCAGCAACTGTTGTCCATCCAGATCTTGAGCAGCAAATTCTGCTACGTACTGTTCCAGGTTCAAACTCTCGAGCCACTGGCCCACTTTCTGGCTGCTCCACATTGAAACTGCACTCAGAGGCTCATCCAGAAACTTCAGGGAAGATTGTTTAGGGTGGGGGAATAAAGGGGGAGAAAGAAGATGGAATCTGATATTGCCAATAGTTCTTGTATTCTATACGTAAAGATTAATCTTCCTGGCACCACATCTAGTCAGGCAACTGGGCGGAGGACTGTCCATAAACTTTACCTCTTTTTAAAACTCAATGCGTAATTGGAAAAATACTTACTCGCTTTCTCTATAATCACAAGGGCCCATAGCAAACTACAAATACATCAAAAGAATGTCAGAATACAAGTGTTGCAACTTCTTAATGCAAATCCCTCCCTTGCGTACTTAGGCTTTGGTATCTTTTATCACGACATATGGTCAATCAAAATCTTCTAGGGATGCCTCCATCTACACTTCAGGATGTTTGAAAGGAAGAATGTGGTAGAAATTATGTTATTTTTGTTGTTGCTAATGTAATCATGGCAGCTACTATGCTGACCTTCATTCTTTCTTCTTCAGTAATGCATTAGTATGCCATGCTTTAGATAGTCCTCATTATCAACAGTTTCACATCTCCAGAATCAATAAAACCCCAAACCTTAAAACATGCAAAAAGGTATTTTTCTATCCACAATTATGCCTTTCTTTTGTGTTATTTTTTGCATGCATGAAATGATGACTGGAGTTCTGTGTAAGCTTCAAGTAAATTTTTCCTTTCATTTTATAATTTTTATTGAAAGTTTTAATAAATAAAAATGCAAATCAATGAAAAGTTAAAAGCAGAAAACAGAGAAAAAGAAACAAAGATAAATGTGTAGAAAGGAAAAATAAAAGATATAAAAGAATAAAAATAAACAAATAGCTTCCGACTTCCTTTGCAGAAAATATAAGCAGAATTCAAAATTTATCTTTTACTCTACAATCACCAAAGAAAGCTCAATCTTTGCAATTATCCAGGGTTTTTTTTCCTAATCGTGCAACTTCCAAGTACATTACTAAAGGAAAGATTATTTGTGTAATGTCTCTGCATTTGCTGCTCAGTGGGTTGTAGCAGTCCTTGAAGGCTCTAGAAATATGCAGCGCACATCCTTCATCACCGATGGACTGCAAAGAGATAAGGTCTCTGTGGTTTTTAACATCATGCAGGTTATAATCACACTAGTTGCACCAGTTAGATAACTCCCCCTGTGAGGTGCAGAGAATAACCATAGGGTGTGACCCAATTCCTGTAAATTGAGCTTCTCATTATTCAGTTTTACTACCATTTTATGCTGGAATGAAGCCCAATTAAATAGTGTAGCTTCTTATAATCCAAGTAATATTAAACATTGAGGCATTTGTTTTTTGCACACATACTATTACTTATGCACTTGTTTCAACTGGGATAACAACTTGAATGGCTGACTCATGATGGGAAGAATTCAGTGCTCAAAAGCGGTTCCACCACAAAACCGCGCTCGACTAAACCGTGCCTGACTAAACCGCGTCGCTGACGTCATCAACAGGGCGACAACAGCGCGGAGACAGAAGCACGCTGTAAACCCTAAACCTAAAATTAACCCCTAAACCTAACCCCCCTAAACCTAATCCTAATCCTAACCCTTAACCTAACCCTAACCCTAACCCTAACCCTTAACCTAACCCTAAACCTAATCCTAATCCTAACCCTAACCCTAACCCTAAACCTAACCCTTAACCTAACCCTAACCCTTAACCTAACCCTAAAGCTAACCCTAAACCTAACCCTTACCTTAAGTTGAATTGGCTTGCTTTCAAAGTGCTATTTAAAGCGCCCTTCTTTCTCCGCGCTAGCTGTTGTCGCCCTGTTGATGACGTCAGCGACGCGGTTTAATCGGGCACGGCTTAGTCGAGCGTGGTTTTGACGGGTCACGCTCAAAAGCAATGCACTATAAAAATAAATGTCTAGTCCCTATGAAGCAGGAGGATTCCATGGGCAAAATAGGAATTGTGGCCTTATTCTGCAGGGTTTGAGGACTAGGAGGACTTACCTCATCAGATGATTGTGACAGTGTATGGTATGGGTAGGAGCACTTGGCCTCTGGCAGAGCCATGCTCAGGGTCTTAGGGCTGCTGCTGGGAGGGCTGGAGTCATCGCTTAAGGTGGATTCCTGGTAAAGAAGCAGAATTAGAGAAGCTGAGAGCAGAATCAACCTCCTTAAGCACAGGCAGAGGATGCGGATGACAACATTGTCAAGAAAAACAGACATTTCGTACAGGGCAGTCCTCGACTTACAACCATTCATTTAGTGACCATTCAAAGTTACAATGGCACTGAAAAAGTGACTTAGGACTGCTTTTCACACAACTGTTGCAGCAGTGGGGGTCGCATGACCAAAATTTGGATGCTCAGCAACAGACTCATATTTATGACGGTTGCAGTATCCTGGGGTCATGTGATCACCTATGACAAGCAAAGTCAGTGGGGAGGCCAGATCCACTTAACAACCGTGTTACTAACTTAAAAATTGCAGTGACTCACTGTAGCAAGAAAGGTCCTAAAATAGGGCAAACTTCACTTAACAAACGTTTCGCTTAACAACATACATTTTGGGCTCAACTGTGTTCATAAATCAAGGACTACCTGCCCTTCTGGGAACATTATCCAAGTCAACTCTTCAGTTTTTAAATGTCAGAGGAAAAAAAAAAACTTCCCTTAGGCCTAGAAGCATAGAGCTGCCCTGTCTAATCACTTTTCACTTAAAAAGCGATGGTTTCAAAACATATTAAATAAAAGACCCACTCTTCCGTTCCCTCTTCCCATTCCGTACTGCACAGCCTCATTGCGTTAGCTCTAAGGCAGGATCCACATAAGATAAAACAAAAACACAGCTGCTGTGTTTCACATGGCATGAGGTGCCCCTAGAAATAAAACAGCTCATGGCTTAACATGAAGCCCTGATTCCCACAATACGCTAAGGCAGTGTTTCTCAACCTTGTCAACTTGAAGATGTCTGGACTTCAACTCCCAGAATTCCCCAGCCAGCTGGCTGGGGAATTCTGGGAATTGAAGTCCAGACATCTTCAAGTTGACAAGGTTGAGAAACACTGCGCTAAGGCAATACCTTGGTTACCACAACATGCTGGACTTATCCAACCTCATTTTAGCCTACTCTGGAAGTTAGTCCTTGTGAGGTTTCCAGCTCTCCCCCGTAATACATGGTTTTGAAACCTGGGAGGCAGATTTCTTGCGGCTGAAGGCCTCGTTCTTGGGGGAAGAGGTAGGAGAAGCTGTGCTGCCTGAAGAGGCTGAGCCTTTCCCGCTGTCTGTAAACCAGGAAAAAGGCATGAAGGGCGATCCCGAGGAACGGCTGGAACCCTCCATCAACTCCCTGTACAAGTCAGACAGGTAACAAGGAAAAGGGCCTCAGTAAGTTTTCTATTCTTTTTTTTTAATTTTTTTCCTGAGGGGTGAATTTTGCATGCATCATTTCCTTGAGGGGAAGTTGTGAGCTAGAATGTGCAAAATGTACCATTCTGGAGATGGAATGTTCTGGGGAACGCCAGAACGTTCCATGTTTCTTCCAGATCGCATTGATCCAATCCTTCTGGCATCTGTTACTTTTTGAGAAGTAAATCTGGTGACTGTTTTTTTTTTTCCTTTTTTTTAGAAAAATAATGTGGGGACTGAATCACAATCTTTTTTTTCCCCCCTCCTCCAGGAAATTTTCTTCTGAAAAACAACCAGCACACCTCCAGAATTTCTATGGTTTGGAAGAAAATCGGGAATATTCTGTCCCTGAAATGATAAATTTTACACATCCGTCATTGTGAGTCAGCCAAGCCATGACAAGAAGTAAACAGAGCTGTTTTCACAAAAGTGGCAAGATAATCCATTTGAGATTAGTAGAGGGAAGCCCGTCACCCAAATATTAACAAATCTGGCACTCATTTTTAGTCATTGTGACTGTGCAACTGTCATACTCCAAATGAAGAAGACTGTGCACCTGTCATACTCCAAATAAAGAACCAGGCTATTCACAACCATCAATTGTTCTACAATCTTTAATATACAAAATTCCAGGGGGAAATTCTGGATGGGGAAACTGCCCTGTTAAAATGGTTGAATGAAGAAGCACAGCTGTACACTTAAAAAAATACCTTTTTGGGAGCCATCTGCATAATTCCTTGATAGGAATTTGTGTCTTCCGGGTTATTTTCAGGGCTCTACAAGAATTTAACTGAGAGGAGCTTTGGGGAATCCTAACCACTTACCTATTGCCAATGGACAGACGGTTGCCTCCTTTCTCTTTTTTGCTTTTCCCAGAAGATGCTCTCCTGAGGGTGACCCTGCAAGGGAGAAGCAAAATGATTACAAGCACAGAAAATTATTTGTATAGTCCCGTGATATCTCACAGTGATATGAGTAGAAATTACAATATGGAAAACTCAACGAAAATGATTCAGCCCACAGACATTGTTTTTTTTTTTACCAAGCCCAATCTCTAGGACTCACCCCAAATCCAGAAACTTCCGCCGTGTTTTCTTGTCTAGCCCAATTGTGGGGCTTTCCAGTTCTTGAGGACTAGCATCCCTGCTGTCATCTGGAAAAGAGTCAAGGGAATCTGTGGCTTATTTCAGAAATGAGTAACCTAATGGAAAACCTAGCTAGCAGACATTGAAAGTCTGCTTTTTATTCCAAGGTATTCTATTAAGAAGAGGTGTTTTGTATGAGCTGGGAGTACGTCTTTTGATTACTATATATGTCTCCTGTTGCGCTGCTCTGGATCTGGAATTTAAAAAGGATTCTGAGCCTAAGTTGTGAATGAATTTTTAGCTCAAAAATAAATCCCAGGAGATGCTCGTGCATAAAATTATTCTGCCTACTGGAGTGAATTTGAACTAAGTGCTTGTTCTGGTCTTGCGAATGTTAAAGAAATCAAACATGCACACACAGACACACATGTTCGTCAGTGGTGGGCTCCGGATCCTGTTCCAACCAGTACGGTTGGAACAGGCCCGGTGGCATCCACATGGATGCACGCAGTGCGTGTTCACACATCTTAGCACCTCTGCGAGCCTCCATCACGCTCCAGCTGCTCAGCGGAGCATTGTGCAGGCACTGTATGCTTCATGCACATGCACGGAAGTGCCACAAATTTAAAAGACTGGTAAGGAGCTCGGGCGGGCAGGTGGGCCCTCCAGTGCACCATACAGGAACGGTATCCGGTGCTGTGGGCAGGCTCCGGTATGCCCATACCAGGGCAAACTGCCTGCAACCCACTACTGACGCACATGCACAACTGATTCAGACTGGGTTTACGTGGAGCACCAAACCAAAATTTGTTTTAACCATATGGTGCTAACCATCACCTGTGTTTTATTTTGAAGAATGACTATGTTCACTCAGAACTGTTAATTAAAGTCTTTTTATGACATTACATGCATACTCAGTTTCAGGACTGATGAAACATACAGTTCCTCAAAATACCATTGAGAAAACTCTTTTTTCCTCTCCTGTACTTGTGAAACTGTCATTCACAGTTGGACATTCTGTAACTGGCCTATCCCATTGGATCATTGGAGCCAATCAAGATAAGTGATAATTGATTGATTGACTCAATCACTGATTCCATATCATCCTCATCCTCGTTAGAGAACATTGCATAAACAGAATAAGTAAATAATGTAATTATAATGTAATAAATTGTAATATAATGTAATAAAAGTTATAACTGAAAACAATTCAGAGTTTTGATGGGGGGGGCACAATAAAATAAAATTTTGGGAAAGAGTTGGAAGGAAGGCTTTAAATTATAGCATTCTAAAACAATTATATGAGTCCCAGGTTGCCTAGCCAATAATACCTTAACAAAATCAGAACAGGTAAATTCAAATATATATTTGTCCCTTTCCTTTTTTAATTCGGAGAAGATTTTGCTCTTGTGAATAGAATGGATGTAATTCAAGGAATCAGTTATTTTTAAGGGATGAAATATAAAACTTAAGGCATTTGCTTTGCCCCTAAAATCTCCCTTATGGTGAGATATGTTGCTCCACCAGTTAGGATCCGGGGCCACAATTAAAACACCAGATGTCCATATGTTGTTTATTTACTAACTATAATTGTATAAAGCCATAATAAAGCTTTAGCAGCCAGTTGTTTACTGTTAAAACATACAATAAAATCCAGAATATAATTTTAACAAATAATCAATAAAAAATAATGGTATATTTTCCTTGACACTAACAGGAAAGATCCTTCAGCATCTTGGGGAAAGATTTCAGAAGAGAAGCACCTGAATATAGGTTGAAAATGATTTTGCCGTGACCTGTTTCATAATATGATAGAACTGCATTATAACCACAAGGGAGGTCAGCATGTTTCTGCATTTCCTTACATTTGGAGAGACATTAACAACATTTTAACTGGTGCTGGAGCTTACTCAAGTGTTTTTAGGCAATAGAGACAGATGACTGAGAGTCTCAGCATTATCAGGGTAAGTTGAGTAACTATATAGAAGGAGGAAAACTATCTTCTAATAACAGTACTAAGAATGGCATTTCAACAGCTGCTTCTCTTTCACATCCAGACAAGAACCTTTGGTACAGATTGGATTAAACTAAAAATCCCAAATTGGTCTGAGAGGAGTTATATCTGAGTTTGTTTTGTAGCCCTCCTTCATTTCTAAGTCTTGCTTTCAGCACTCCCTGACTCCAAATGTGTAAAACCAGCTGTGTTACCTTCACTATGTCTCTCTCTTCGTGCATAGATAGGTGAGCTGTCCGAGCTGGGACAGGACCTGGGTGAGGAGCTGGTGGGTGTGCTCCCTAAGCCCTCCTGGGAGAGGGTGTTGGTCAGGGGTCGGTAACGGATAAGAGGAGATGAGGAAAGCTCTTCCTGTTCCAGAGACCTCTGTACTGTTGGGGTATCAAAGGAAAACTCAATGGTGCGAGTGAAGACTGAGGAACTAGAGAGAGATGATGAGGCATGGAGGGAGTCATGGAGAGGGGATCTCACGTGATAGATTGGGCTTCCACAGCCTTCGCCCACCTGGAGAGGAAAGCAGAGATCAGCTAGCATGGGTTCATCTTAGAGACACCTCAGCAAATCTCATCTAGGCATACCCAGGGGAGAGGATGCTCTTCAGAAAGGCATAGAAAGAAACATGAAGTTCATCTCAGAAATACATTTCTAGTGAACGTATTAACTTCCACCCAAACTAGTGCACTATCAGTTTGTTAGACTACTCTTCCTAGAATTTTTGAGTCTTTGGGCATTCTGGCAACATAGTCACAACACGTCCATTGCAGAGGTGGTATTCAGCAGGTTCTGAACAGTTCTGGAGAACTGGTAGTGGAAACTTTGAGTCGTTCAAAGAACCGGTAAATACTACTCTGACTGGCCCCATCCCCATCTATTCTCTGCCTCCCGAGTCCCAGCTGATCAGGAGGGAATGGGGATTTGCAGTAACCTTCCACTGGAGTGGGGAGGGAATTGAGATTTTACAGAATCCTCCCCCTGCCATGCCCACCAAGCCACGCCACAGAACCGGTAGTAAAAACGAATAATCCCACCACTGGTCCATTTGAGTTGTTTAATTAACGAACTGGCAACTGGTGATATATTTTAATAACATAACTCCCCATATGGCAGAAGAAATAGTAACTGTCATAAACCGATGGATTATTTGTTCAACTAGGTTAGGTGACCATTATGTTCTTAATTCGTTGGCAAGTGTAGTCAAAATCCAACTGGACCAGCCCTTCCTTTACATCATTGCTATTCTCCCCCCCTCCTTTATATATTGATCATTATTGTCTTATCATCTACCTCATTATTTTTGGCAAAATATACAGCACTCCGCTTTCTTGAATAAAAGCCAGCATGCTCTAAGTGCTAGGCTATTTTGGATAATGTTTCCATTGATATTGAAAGACTATATAAAATGAATGAATACTGAGATTTTAAAAAAGTCTCTCTATATCGTGAGAGCAATCCCTTCTGAATATAGCAAAACTTACTTCTGAGCCAGCCCTTTGATTAAGCAAAGGAAGCAGTTACTTAAAGCTATAAACTGTGATTAAGGCACCATGAGCTGCCCAGAGTAGTTGCCTCGTTGCTCCTAAAACAGGCACTACTTCAAAGTAAAATGTCACTCCAACATGGGATATCACGTTTGGAAAGGGACCTCAAAGTGACAGTGAGATGGCTGAGGCATTTATAGCCACTCACCACTATGATGATCTCATACAACATCATTTGGAAGATCTAGTAAAAGAACTATTGGATAGATAGCCAACCAACTGGATAGTGAATGGTGCTTTTGTTTTTTCTAAGAAGGCATCATCCAGGAAAAATGCTCGGGAAGGCAAGTGGGGTAAGCAACTGATCTACACCCCCTGCTCCCAGCATTAGTTCCTTTAAGGCCATCCTGTTGTGTGTGTGTGTGTGTGTGTGTGTGTGTGTGTGTGTGTCTGTCTGTCTGTCTGTCTGTCTGTATCAAATTTTCAGAATAAACAACTATTTTGTGTGCACATATGCATGCATATATTTGTGTATGTGTATGCAATAGTTTCTTCATTCTATGGTAGATGGCAAACATAATAAAACTTGGGGGAAATGTAAATTCATTTTATTACTTTATTTATCCTGTTTTAATTATTTTTACAGCTAACCCAAGGCAATAAACTTAACTAATCCTCCTTCTCCTGTTTTCCCCACATGATGAAGTGAGTGGGCTGAGAGAAAGTGACTGGCCCAAAGTCACCCAACCAGTCTTCATGAATGAGGTGGAACTAGAAGTCATAGTCTCTTCTTTTTAGCTTGGTGTTTTATGGCATAAAATAGTGACATAACTTTTTAAGTCTGTTGTATCTTAATATTTGAAACTTTTTTTTAAAAAAATTGGTTTTTTAAGAATAGAAAGATCATCATCATCATAACACAGTACTTTTAAAAATTCTCATTCATTTTCTCTTTTAAGCTGTACATTGAGAGTACTCTGAATTTGCTTTATTATTAGTTCAACACACTAAGTCAAACAAACGCCATTGTCAGTGTGAAATGCACAAAATATAACTGCATCAATAGGTGCAATATAAGTGAGGAGCATTTAGGCACCAACCTTCTTGTCCAGGATATCATCCCCTTCTGTTGAGCTGACACTGTCTCTCAAGCGGGACCGAGAGGGGCGCTGTCTCCTGCCCTTGGCTGAGAGTTGGGCACGGGCCTTCTGTAAGCTGCTATCCAGCCTCTGGGTCTCTGGAATCACATCATTAAAATCTGGGAGTGAAAGAGAGAAACGGGAAGGGGAGCAGAATGGGGCAGGGGGCAGAAAGAGAGGGCAGGCAAAAAAGAGCATTGGAGAGAATGGGAGAGATGGAGGGATCATAAAGAAAAGGCACAGAGAAGTAAGAACAGCACAGAGATAAGGAGCGAGTGTACAAGACGGTATATAGGGCAAATGCAGCCAAGAGTAGGAAAAGCAGGAGGAGGAGGAGGACAGCAGTTCAAATGAAAAAAAAACCCCAGGAGAGACGCAAAGAAGAATGGAATGAAGGGGTTAAAAGGGAGAAAAGATACAGAAAGAGTGTTCAGAGAAGAGAGAACACACTGACATTCAGCATCCTCTTTTATAAATATATGATGGGAAGCTGGAGGTGGCATATCATAATAAACAGGCTTATTGGTGGCTTATTACAGATCCTGACTCCATGGAGATTGTTGATCACCGAGCAATGGCATCAGCAAGACAATTTTCTCCATCCTTCCTACTTGCTCTCCATCAAGCATATGCTCACCCACCTACAGTGATTTCTTGCACATAAGGCCACATCCAGATGACAAGCTGTTGTGTATTACATTCACCATATGGTGCAACTGACTTTATCTGCATCTCTTACCATGTCCTAATGGAAATTGTCATGTTGGTTACTTGCAGCCTTCTTTCTGAGTTCAGTGGGCAATATTGCTAGAATGAGGATACATGTATGATGTTTCCCAGGCCAAAAATCAGTCTTGCCTTAGAGTGGTAGGCTGGATTTTCTCTGCAAAAATTAACTTTCCGAATCAAAAGATAGCAGGTGAAACACATAGAATTGGTGGGATTGCATCTGAATCAAAAGTTTAAAATCTGAGATTGGATGTGCTAATTAACAGTATCACAACTTTCAGCCTACTTTGTCCCGCTATTCCAGTCATATGGAAACTATGGTAATAAACCTCTGTTATTCAAAATAGAAGAGGAAGGTCAGAGTTGGAGAACCTATAATCCTTCAGTTGTTACTAAACTACATGTCCCACCATTCCTTTCCATTGCCCACACAAGCTGAAGTTGCCAAGATGTACAATTCTACAAAATCTGAAGAGCTAGGTATGTTATATATCTACATAGACATTGCATTTTAATTCTGAAGAGCTGGAAGATGGTGAACAATCAAGACCTAGTGTATCTTGAAAGGTACTTCTTTTGGGAAATTAAATGAACTAACGCACATCATGCCACATTTATTAATTTTGAAAATGTCACTTTTGAAATGCTATGCTATATTGCATAACTAATCTTGGCTACTATTGACTTTCACTTGGAAATCAATTGACATCATTTGGATGGCAACTGATTTTGATAAACATTGGTGATAATATAATATTCTCACCCAAATAGATTCATTTGTGCTAAATACAATATATTCTATATTGGATAGAATGTCCTATCTCCAGATGTGATGGATGCTCCAACACTGCAAGTTTTTAAGAAGAGATTAGACAACCATTTGTCTGAAATGATATAGGTTTTCCTGCATAAACAGGAAGATGAACTAGAAGACCTCCAAGGTTCATTCCAACTCTGTTATTCTATTCTGTTCTATTTCTAGAGTATTCAACAGAGTCTATTCTCAAGTAAGCAAGTGATGAGTTGCATCCTAAGTATTTTTTTTATAAAAAAATAGTTTTGTTTATTCTTTTTTATTGAGTGTTTTGTTGAGGAAATAAGCACCTTCCTCCTGCTGCTCTATCAGTCATTGTATCTTTTCAAAGTGGTCTTTATAACAAATAAGAGTGACAGATAAGTTACACACATATGTGAGGGTAGCTCCTATTCATGGACACAGTCCAATTTATAGATTATTAATATGATTATACATCTTTCTCTCCCACTCTCTTTTATATATACACACAGCCTGAGTTCTTAAATATTCAAATTCTTTCCCACCTGCAGAGACACCATTTGCTGTACATACCCACCATTTTAGGAACATTTTCCCTAGATACTATTTTGTTCTATGCACTGAACGAATCAAGTAACCTGGTTATTTTCAGATAAGATAAATGTGGCATATGTGTGATATTTCTCTCTCTGTATGTGTATAATCTTATGTATAGCTGAGTAGCTTTTGAATATTAAGTAAGCTACTATTTAATTTATCACACAGAATAAAAAATAATGAAAAACCTTAATATTAGAGGGCATGACATATCAAACAGCAGCAAGTACGAGAGATAAATACAACCTCCTGAGTTTTGGAAAAAGAACATTAAGACTTTTTGGCCACAGAACTCTTGCTCCATCAGTTTTAGGTGTGGGAAAATTAAATCTCTGAGGAGAATTCCATGTAAACTGGAAAATTTTGAAATATTGCTATCCTGTAGAATGGTGTTTTAGAATAAACTTAATGTAGGCATTGCCTTAGCAAAGAATGGAAAATCTCTTTGTATCCCTATCTCATTCACACAGAACCAAGGAGCAGATTTTTCCATTCCCTGTCAAGTAACATAAGTCAATGCCTGGCCTCACTTCCCTCTTAATGTAACTGGATTTACGGAATCTATCATCATAGAAAAAATACACAGGCCATCAATATAGCAAAGGTAGCTAAACTTGCAGATATAATTAATTTGCCACAACTAAGATTTAGTCTAAGAGGGCAAATAAACAGTATCAACCTTCATTTGGTTTGTGTGATTTATACTGAGTGAAATTTCGATATTCTCGTCTGAGTATATATACATTACATGGACTCAGAAAGAGTAAACCTGAATTACTATGTTAAATCAAACTCAGCTTTATTTATGAATTCTTAGTGTCATCAATTAAATGATTATATTAACATCCACCATTTTTCAAGGCAGTGTTTAGGTATGTAAGAAAGAGAAATGAAAATATAAATACAATTAAAAAACAAACATCCAGCAAATAATGAAGGAAGGGGTCTTTAGTGATGTGCAGGATCCCATGTCCATTTCCCCAAAGACAAAGAAGTGACAGTAGAAGCACATTGCCAAAACCAGAAGCATTCTCATGAAGACTATCTCTCTGATTTTGATTAGTCTATGGATAAAATAATTTGTAAATCTCAAAGAACACAAAGATGGGAAATAAACAAAATGGCATATATTTCTGGAGTTAAAGGTAATCTTGCTTAAAGATTGTGTAACATTAAAAGACTTCGGATTCATTTGATAACCCAAGTTGCAAAATTTACGTGAAGTTCGTAGAGTAGTCATCCACAAGCACTGGAATATCATCAGTACTCTGATGGCACTCGGTTATATAAAGTATATGCACCCTGAGCTGAACAGGACTTTCAGAGGAAGTCTTTGGAGGTTCTCAGCAATCCAGGTCATGGTTGTCCCAAAGGTGCTTTTTTCAAGAGGCAACTTTCCTTTTTTTTAATTTTTTTATTTGAAGACGTTTTGCTTCCCATCCAAGAAAGCTGTCTGCAAGGAATATAAATCCTTCCATTCCACACTATCCTGTCAGAGCTGAAGAAGCTTCTTGGATGAGAAGCGAAAAGTCTTCAAACAAAAACCAGAAAGTCCAGTTTCCTCTTGAAAAAGCCCCTTTGGGGCAGAGAAAGTCTGGTCAGTAGGATCTGAATGGAGAAAAAACAAGCTCATGTTATAATCTCTGCAGAGTTGCAGCTGATTCTAAAGCCAACTGACTCCCACACAGGTACAGCTTTGATTCTAAATGGAGTTGTACTCCCTATGGCCGAGCAAACGTGCAATTTAGGTGTGTTGTTAGACTTATGATTCATGGGAGGGGGAGGGTCACCTGGTGCATTAATTGCAGCCTTTTCAGAAGCAGGAAGTATTAGCAAAGGTCCCTTGTTCCTTTGTCATCACGTGGTTGGATTTCAGTAACTTACTTTCTATTGAGTCTTGAATATCATTTGGAAGTATTAACCTATGTGATGTAGTATAGTAAACTTCTGTTGCAGGAGCTGAATTGGTTGCTGTCATAGATTTTTTTGGGTGGGGGGGTGGAATCCACTAATAACTAGATTGACCAAACTCAAATCTGAAAATCTGACACTTGGTTGAGTTTTATAGCTTCTTAAAACTAAAAAAAGAGAGATTGTATTTTATAAAAGAAAATCTTAGAAAAGGAAAAGAATTTGTAAATTATAAATGTCTATGTTTTTTGTAGAAATTAATACTACTACTTTTTTATTTTAACTATTTTCTATAAGATTTTTTTAATTTTATTTTCTGCTTTCCACTTCTGTTCTGTCAAAGTCTTTACTTTTTCTTTAACTTTTCTTTTTGTTTGTTCCTGGTTGGTTTTCTTGATTCTTATCTGAATCTTTGCTCCGTCTAAGGGAAACAGATTGAAGAACTTTTATTTCAGACCAGTCTGAATGAAATAAATGTTTCTCTCTCCAGCTGCTGCCTTCTTTCTTGTTGCTTTTCCTCAATGGGACATTTTCCTTCTTTAATTAACTCTTCTGCTTTGGCTCTTTTTGTTTACTTCTTCCTGTAGTGATCTGTATAGGCAGTACTTTGGGGCAACCATTTGTCTCCCCCTCTTTTTTGCCTCCTGCCAAACACTGTGGTTTGATTGGCAGCTGGGTCAACCTGACAATGTGGAAGGACCAAGAAGGGAGAGGGAAGGAAGGAAGGAGCAACAGTGCTTTTAATCTACCCAAGCAGTCTGTCCTTCCACACCTGTCAGTATGTATCCATGTGCAATTCAAGTGCTATTATCATCCATCCAGCCCCAAATAGCTTGAGGCTTGATTTTATACAGGATCAGGTAGAATCTGCTAGCAGAGATGGCATGCTAAGAATTCTCACTTATTTAGAAATATCACACAAGATGGACAGAGAGCCCTAAAGTCCAAGAAACACTAAAATATTTGAAAACCTTGGGTTTTCTGTAGATTTTTCAGAGATTGCGGGGGGAGGGATGTTTTAATTGTGATATTATTTTCTAAATAATAAGGGTAGGTGCTATATTTGAATATTTCTCAATTCATTGACTATATTGTACTTTGGTGTGTAGGATTTTTTTTCTATTAATTTAAAATTATATAATTGGACTGTATAAGCTGCTCAGAGATGTGAGACTGAATCAGTGTGCAAGCTTAAGAAAAAATAAATAAAACAGATCTACCAGAAGGATATTCCAAGGGCCCATCATTTTAATTTAAATTCATTTTCAGAGGCATGTAGTCTATTGTAACTGGCAGTGATTAGGGAAAACAGTGGCAGTCCTAATAACATAAACTAGACAAGCATAGGATGCACACAACCGTCGGAAGTCCATTTGTAGTCCTAAAATCATACCATCCAAGGTCAGTGGTCAAAGGTGCTAATTCAGCAAGTTGGATACCCATCTAAACCTTAATAAATGTAGGCTCAACACAATCCCTGAAAAACCAGAATATGCATATAAATGGAGGTGGAGGAATTTTTTGAAGAAATAAAACACTGTGTGTACCATTTTATGCTTAATTATACATGCCTAATGCAGAGATCTAAACAGAACAAATTATGTTTTAGATTCTTAAAATCATTCCTGCACCAGAAATTCACAGGGTGAGTCTTAATGAACCATTCTCCAAAGAGAAAACAGATTAAATAGTTGAAGATTTGAAATTAAATAAGGCCCTTGGAGTTGTCTTAATGCTATTATTGCAGCTGATTTTTTTTAAATGGAAATGATTGTCTTCTGTTCTCTATTTAATCCAATATTGCAATCACATCTCTGATTCTTGGCATCACGTCCTTCAGTCATGATGCCAAAGCCTTACAGAGATGCCTACTAATTGAATAATAGTGAGCAACTGCAGTTTTCAATTGAGATTACAATGTTTTACAGCTTGTTAAATTCAACACAAATTATATTAATTTTGATCAAGATGCATTTACAAAATGCAGTTCCAAGTAAGACAATCTTTAAACCAATGATCGGAAATTCACCAAAAACCTATGAGTTATTTTAATTACATATATTTTTAAAGCTTCTGCCAACCCCAAGAGTTATATTTATTTAAACTGAGTTCTCCCCTTTTGTCCTCCAAAATGTTTACATTGGTTTGTGAGTTTCCCAAAAAATCATTTTAATATATTTTATAAAATTTTAATTAAACTACCTGTTTGGAAATATGCAAGTTTCCTTCCCTGCAATCCAGGAGAGAATACTGTATATATTTATTTAAACTATTTACATAGCTGCCCATCTTAAGCCCAATTCTGGATGGCTTATATATCTAGATTTTTAGGTGCTATAATTCCAGGCAAGGTCACAGACTAAAAGGTGCCCTCCAAAATCCAATACAATCTCTCTGCCTCTGCCCTCAAACTCCAGCCTGCTGAATTGAAAAGAGTAGAAATGGAAAATGCCTAGCAGGCAGTACAAAAGGTCATGCCCACAATATCAAAATGTACTGGTTGGTTTCTTTTGTTTCCAGCTAGGTCCTGAGTTGGGCATGGAGATAATTGGCCACATCACGAGAACTGTATAGCTCTAGAATGTGTAATGAATGTTTATGCACGGTTTTGAGTGTGCACATTTATTCAATAATTCTGTCAGAAGTTAAAGCACATGAATTTTGGAACAGAATTCCAATTTTGGAACAGTATTCTTGAGAACACTGACCCAAAGGTTATTGGAAGAATGCAGGGCCAGGAAACATTTGTGCTTTGGAACAAGGAAATGATATTTGAGTGAACCAATCTTAGTAGTAGAAATACATAGTTATTTTGAAGCTCTGGTCTCTTGCTTATTAATTGAAGGAGGAATGTAATGGAAGAGCCAGTTCCAAATTTGAGAAGTATCTTGTTAAGCTTCCCTCTTGCATATTTCTTCCACCCTTGATGGCCACTGCCAATGTTGGTTAGTAGAGTATTCAATTATGGATGAATACTGGGTTAGAAGGAGCAGATTTTCCCACACTTTTGATATAAATCATTGTAGAGCTTATTTCACCATGTTGCCTCTAGATGTGTTGAGTATACAACTCCTAGACCCCCTAACCAAGTAGCTAAGGAACTCATATTTAGGAAGAAATAGAAAATTAAAATATTGATTTCAAGTCACAGAGTGTTTGAAAAATAAGACAGAATAGATATCAGTATTTGATCTTATGGATGGTATAAGTCACCTGAATTCATGCAGAGAAACCCCATTAGCTACATTACAGATACCCCTCTAGCCCGCAAAAAATTAGAACCATTTTGTTGTACTGGTTAAGATAATAAACAAGGAACTGGGAGTCTATAATTTCTAATCTTCCATAGGCATGGAAGCTAGCTGGCTTCAGCCAGTCAATTTCTCTCAATCCAAGCCATCTCATACTGTTGTCAGAAAAATAGGAAGAAGGATCATTTTGCTTGCCAAATATTATAACTAAGCCATATCAAACAACATGGCCTGGGGGGTGGGGGACACAAGAATATGGAATTGTAACAAAAATTCAGCTCCATGATTTTTTACCATCTTGCTCAAATTTGATCTTAAGAAACTCGTTTGCAAGGTTCCCACAGAGCCGAACATCTGCCAATCAAAATGGACAGCATTGGGCTAGGTATAATATTATTAGGCAATTCATGAGGAAAGTATCATAGTGATTCCACCTCATTGAGAATGTGATGTTTTGCCTTAAAGATGCAGTTCATCTCAAACTTCCTCAAAATTCAGGAAATCCTGTTTAGCAACAGCCTTGTTTTACAATGGTGATGAAGAAGTAGCTTTATGACCAATTCTTGCATTTATGACCTTTGCAGGTCTATACAGCAAAATTTAGTTTGTAAGCACAGTCATGGTTTCACTTAGTGATTGCTTCACTTAATTATCATTTGCTGGTCCCAATTGTAGTGTAGTGCTATAGGGCACTGCACCCCAGAACAAGGAGAGTTTTTTCCTGAATGCCATCACTCTGCTAAAAACTAATTTCCACAATACTGCCAAATTATTTACTAAGACTGTATTACTATTATTATTCTCATCCTTCCTAGTACCAATCTCTTCCCACTTATGACTATAACCATGTTGCTTGTATCTTTACAATTTATACTGTTTTATTTGTTTCCTAGTATGATTTAATTGCTTATTAGTAACTTATGACTATCACTAATGTTGTATTTATGATTCTTGATGAATGTATTTTATTTTTCTTTATGTACATTGAGATCATATGCACCAAAGAAAAATTCCTTGTGTTTCCAATCACACTTGGCAAATAAATAATTCTATTCTATTCTATTCTATTCTATTCTATTCTATTCTATTTTCTCATATTCCATTCCATTCCTATTCTATATACACTAAGAACCTATGCACCAAAGACAAATTCCTTGTGTGTCCAATCACACTTGGCCAATAAAGAATTCTATTCTATTCTATTCTATTCTATTCTATTCTATTCTATATGGGATTACATAGATCTCTTTGTATTTCTTCATAAACTTCAGTTGCAAGAAAAGGCAATGCCAATCTGAATTTGGAATATACTTTATATGACTGCATCAAGTGGCTATATGATAAACATATTTCTGAGCATATGCAAAACATGTGCTATGAGTTTCTCCACCACACCAATTCACAATCAATGCCATCTTCATCAAACTGCAGTTGTGCCAAAAGGACAGCACACACTATCTGATATCATTGTGCAAATGATACCATGGCATGTTTACACCAGGATAGCTGAAACAATTATGCAAATCTCTGCATTTGTATAAAGATATTGTTTGCTCCATCTTGTTCCCCCTGGCCCAAAACCTGTGTTCCTGCCAATCTGGAAGTGGAAGTTGGGAATGGACTTCATATGGAATTATGTGTAACTTCATGCATCTCCCTTGCCCTCCTGGCCTTGATATCCAAATATTATATCTGCAACGAGGATCTCAGTAGGATTCATGTATTTCTGCTAAGGAAGCAGTCACTGGATGGACGACAGATGGGAAGGCATACAGAACTTACCAAATATTTCATCTGCATCTTGGAGTTTGGAGGAAGACATGTTGAAGTCAATCTATAAAGGGATCACCACACACAGAGAGAAAAAGAATAAATAAAAACCATAACTGAGGCTTTCTTCTTTCAAAGAATATGGAGAAAGAGAGTGAAAAGTGGGCAGTTCTGCCCCAATTCAGGAAACTAAATTAAACTCTGCTTTGTTTAAAGATACAGTTCCAATAACACATTCCTGGACATGAATACTGACAGAATGAGTAACTGGAGACTTAACAGCAATTCTGCTTATCTGTCCTAATAGGCCAAGACATGTAATGCCCTACTAATGATTCCTTCTCTTACATCTGTGAATGAAATTTGTTTCTTAACAATGAAAAATAAATAAAATACAATTATAAAACAATTTATTGTCAAAATGTTACTTTAAAAAAAAACTTTGCTAAGCAGCGCTGGTTGATGCTTTACCTTGGGAGAGGGCCTCAGCATAAAGATTGTATTAGATGCATTTCACTTGTTTGTGGCTCTCATGGGCAGACTGACAATAGAGTTGTCAAAACCTGGAATACCCAACCTGATTCAGTTGTCTCAGCTGCAAATTTTCACAATTTCAGTCACAAATTGATTTCTGTGGATCTTACTTCATACTTAAGTGGACAGTATAGGCGGAGTGCATAAGTGTACTAACCTACCTATCGTCCCTGTCATTGTATTTTTATTATCTTATTCTTGTTCTTGTTTTTGTTTGACAAATTCCAATAAATAAATAAAATAAAATCCTGTCAAAGGGCTTAATGTGTGAGGATAAAGGCAGCACTTCTAGCCAGAAATGATAAAACAAAATATAGGGCTGTATTTGATCTTGAGGCTGTAAACACTCCATCTCTGGGATGAACGGTGGCCTCACATGTCCCCGAAAAGAGGATACAGAAGGACATAAATGTAACAGATAAATCAATAGTTTGCCCATCAGGAAACTTCAGCCTAGAGGCTGATCATTGATAGGCACATGCAACAGACTGTTCTCTATTTTTAGGGTATTTTTTTATCTTTAAACAAAAGAAATCTTCAAATAAAGCAAGAGTGGGTAGTCTATAGTTTAAATAATGTACAGGACATTAAATTCACTTTTTTATGCACGCCTGCTGAAGTTTACCATCAATTTCCACCTGACCAAGTGGTGCCTGTCTAGTAGTGTGATTTTCCATTGAATTTTCTTGTGTGTTAAATACGTAGGAATTCTTTATGACCAGTTTTAAAGGATTAATATGTCTGTTCTCTCTCTCTCCCCCCCCCTCTCTCTGTGTGTGTGTGTAAGAGAGGGGAGGGAGGGAGAGTCTCTATTATATATTTTATTTATTAAAGTTTGGACAGGTTAGAGTTACATATTTTACAATATTTCTAGTCTACATTTCCATTGTAAAAAATTCCTTATTTATGTGGCATTACTGTACAATACAAAAAAAAAACCATTAGTGACTCGGAAAAGATTAACATTAAAAGTTTTTTTAAGTTTCCCTAAAACTCTAGTACAGAACCAAAACTTAGAAACCAGTAGGAAATAATTCCCTACTACAGGTTTCTTAGAAAACTTTGTGTGGTACAGCCATACTGAAAATATAAAATGAGGAACTCTTACTAAATCAGCTTAGTAACTTGGATTGGTACAAGCAACAGCAGTGTGAGATAAAAAGTCAAAGGGAAACCAGCCAAGTGTTTGTATGGTTAGAATTAAACCATACAAAATTCAAAAAGCTCTCTAGCCATTCTGAAAATGCCTTGATTTAGGCATCAGAATAAGTCAGCCCTTCATTTCTCACCCATCCCCCCTTCCCGCCCCACCAAACTCCCATCCCATATGCTGCTTCTAGGTAGACTGGGGATTGGAGGGCAAAGAAAGGCAAAAAGGACTGGAATGTATTCATAAAGAAGACAGAACATACCAATATTAAAGCTGTGAAACGCTCATTTATTCCTTTCTTGTATGGAAATTCATTCTGCACTGTACGTGCATTTAGTCCTTGCACGACAATGTGGCTTGATAGGCCTCTCCACTCCATCAAAGAACAGTTAATATCAGCCAAGCTACCCTGCTGGCCAATTTTCCATATCTAACCCCACCCCTCTCTCTGACACAAAAGCTTTGTGCATTTCCTTAGCCTGATGGGAAAGCTGGAGATCAAATGAATGTAGAGGAGGGGGGAGATCCCACATGTCTGGGCTGCATGTCAGCCCCTGTTTAGGCCTGCCTGTTGGGGAAAAAAAGATGAAATCTCCTGGGCAGGAAAAAAATAGGCAGGAGGTGGGAAGAAGATGGAAAGCAGACGAACAGAGGAAATGGGGATATCGTCATAAGGCATCCAAAGCTTTGTCAGAGCCAGGAAAGAAAAAGACTGAAGTCTGGCTGGCATTCCCAATTGCATCCTTTCAAAGAGGAATCACTTTTGGATCCCAATGATTGTCTCAAAATGGAGTAAGAGATGCTCTCCTATAAGTACTTGCTCCACTGTATACTCATATTTATGTTTATTGCAGTTGCTAGTAAAATTTTGTGTTTGTGTGTATGAGAGAGAGAGAGAGAGAGAAAGAAAGAAATGGTGTAGGACAGTTTTCTCTGCAGAGAACTTTCCTATAGAGCATTGCTAAGTTGTAATTCGGACAAGTGGAGATCCCTATAGAGAACTGTAGATGTGTATGGGATGTTGCCCTGTTTCTGGAAATGGTCTGTAATGGTCTCCTACACAAATGGGGGTTCTTGCTACCAAATGCATCAGCATGAGTTGGAAACAGGATGGCCTGGTGGTGTTTCCCCCCTCCTTTTCTGATAATCTCCTGCCTTCAGTGCTTTCAAAACTCCCAGGTATCTGGCATCACTAAGAGGGAGAGAAGCAAGAAGAAAAGACAAACAGGGAAAGGAATGCTTTGCATTTGTAGCAAAATAAAGAGAGGAAGTTCAGAAAAAGGAAGAAAATCCGGTAGAAGGAAATGTAGGACAAACCCCTCCTTTAGAAAGCTTGCCAGAAAAGACATAAATAGGCCAGCAGCACACACAAGTCACAGCTTTACATTCCTCCTTCCCTCCCTCATGCATAGCAGCATTGAACCATCAGCTTAGTCCCTGTCTTCTTTGCAAAAGAGTCCCAAGATGCTGTCCAAGAAACAGCTCAGCTTCTGTGGAGCCTTTCTGCTCCTGAGTTCACAACAGCCTTGCAGAGCAGATTGAGAGGAAGAAGCAAATGTCAAAAAGCCACCCTGTACTTCCAAACCATATTCTCACCCACCCCAATTCACATGGAGCACTGCAGTCACTGCACCATCTCTTTCCCAATTCATGATGATGGGGTGGTGATGGTGGGGAGAGAGAATTAACTGGATGTTCAAAATCTCTACCTGGATTGGTGAAAGGCAATAATAGGATAATAGAGAAGAGATGGAATTCCACCCACCAACCTGTGGTTTGGAAGCACAGCTGGGGTTTCCATCTAGTAAGCAATGCAAAACTAAACAAGTTTATTAAGGAGTGGGAAAGTACTCTATTGAGCTTTTTGGTGGGCTTCCTGCTGATTAAGCCCCCCTATAATGCAGTCATCCCCTGTAATTGAAGACATTCCTTTAAAGCTGAGCAGAGAAAGAAAACTGAGACTGTGTCTAAGAGAAACAAGTCATTTGTGTTCTAAATATTGCCTACATTGCAACAGAAATTTATTTTCCACAAGATAGCAAATATAACTGGGTTACTAAAATTGACAAGAGACTTTATCGTAAGAATGACTGGTAGAATGCCAAATCACAACACACCAGTCTGCAAAGGGTGGAGACTTTCTAATGTAGCAAAGTACTGGTCTGTCTCCTGCTTGTCTTTACTCCATAATAAAAAGTAGACTCTGATTTTTATCCATTTGTTGATTTGTTTTGAAATCTGCTCCAGTAGATCAGTTCCCTTCTCTTTTCCTACCAGACTTCTAGGACTCTCTCTAATGCTCCTTTCCAGGTGGGATCAGAAAGAAACGTGGGGTAGGAAGAAACCCTTAACAGAAGAACCACATCAGCTCAGCTTCAACACAAGAAAATCAAAACACAAGGATGACTGGAATAGTTGACTGGAGGAAACATCACCTTTGAGGCTAAAGGCCCAAATGTAATTCATTGGTGATATTGTGTTTCTTCTCTCTTCTTTATCCTCAGCCTTTTCTCAGCTACAAAAGTGTCTGAAATTTATTGTAGCACTGACACTAACATATAAACACAAGAGGGAAGGGATGGGAAACACAGAAGTGTAGCTTACCTGAGGCACCAAGACATCTTCAAAAACCTAGAGATCTAAGGATCTCATCACTGCAGTTTCCGAGTCTTTCTCTCTTCTCCCTATCATCTCTCTGAATCCTCCAGCAGTTCTGCTCGTTATCGTGTTCCTGCAGTGTCTGCATCCAGAATCAAAACCACCAAGCACAAGAAGAGTAAAGCAAGAGAGGAGGAGGAGGAGGAGGAGGAAAACATTCAGATCCGGGCTGTTTTCCTCTGTGGAGGTGGAGCTTGCAGCTTTGCGGTGCTGGTTTAAAAGGTGGGAGGGGGGAAACAACCAAACCAAAAGGAAAAAAATAAAATAAAATCAATTAGCCTCTAAAATAGTCAAGCTGGGGCTAGGGGTGGTCCCAGGGTACTAGAGGCGGAGATTAATTGAAAGCTGGAAGCAGCTTAACAGAGCGACTGAAGCAGGAAGAAGACACAAGTGCGGTGATGCTTTTCTCAGATCCTTGAAGCTTTTGGCTAGGACAGCCTGCCTGCCTGGCTTCTCTACTTCTCAGGAGGCCTGAGTCTGATCTGATGGTATCAGGCATCCCTCCAGGTGGCCGGAAAGGATAATGAGCAAACAGATCCGTATGGATGTGGAAGGGGCGGGGAGGAGGAGGAGGTGGGATAAGTGTCTGCAAAATCTGCAATTCTTGCTGGATCCCAGAGGTCCCCCTCCCCTATGGGAAAGTCTTTGACTAAGAGGAACACAAATGGCATGGAAATTTTTTCCAGCTTTCAAGTTCTGCAGAATTATTTGTCAGGTAACATTTTTTTTTTGCAGAGGAGGAGGATTTGCTTAACTACTGATATCAAATTATTTTCTTCACAAAATCTCAGCATCACTGTTTTTATATATCATAAACAGATGATCTGGCGAGTCGGACTAGTTTACAGCAGGGCTTTTCGTCACCTGATGATTACATCATCATGTGATGACATTCCCTTGTGAATGGTCTTCAGGTTTGGAACATCACATAATCTATACGCATAAACATATCATTTAGAGTGAGTCCCCATGTTCAGATACTGTTAAATGTCCAGTAGTTGCAGTTAGAGAACAAATGCCCAGTGTATTTGTCTGAAATGGTATAGGGTTTCCTGAGCAATGGGGCAGCAGATTTCCTGAGCGGGGGGTTTTCTGAGCAAGGTCCCATCCAACTCTATGATTCTGTATGCATGAATGAAATAGACTCTGTGGTTTTCAGTTCTATTGTTCAAATTATAACAGCTGCTATTTAGTGAAGTCCTGAGGCTATTATCACTTAGAATTTCCAAAATGTGCATTGGGAACTTGAAGCCCCCTATCTGTTGCTAAACTACACCTCCCAAAATTCTTCATCTTTTTATGGCCAGTGTTATTGGAAATTCAAGGATATATGTAGTGTCATAGAATCTTTTCTCTATTATAGTTGATATCCATTAATTTGATATCCACTACTTTTGGAAAGTAACTTCCTAATAAATCCATGGCTCAATCTGTACAGTGGCCTTCTCCAACATGGTACTTCCAGAATTATGACAACTATATGCTCCAAAATTCCCAGACAGCCTATTCATCATGACTGTTAGGAATTCTGGAAATTTCAAAATTAGTTCTGGAGATGACTGAATTAGTTAATATCACCTTAGCAACTCTGGACTATAGCAGCCATTATATACCTTTCATATGACATTAAACTGAGATTGGCTATATGTTGCAAAGTTTATACCAATTCCTGCTCAGTTCTCAACCTATTTATTCTTATCAAATGGAACAGTGATCTATGCAGTCTCCCATCCTGGGAAGACAGAAGAATTTTAGTTTAATATACAATAAACCATGTTAACAGGTATTTAAAAAGAATGTAAGTTTAGTTGAATAAATCATGGTTGTCTATTCTGTCATTAGTAAAGCCAACATTTTGATTGTTAAGTGTAGTTTTAATTCCAGATGTGTGTAGTCAATGTGTGTCAATTTAGTGGTCTTTAGAAAAACTGCTAAGACTCAGCTTTGTCCTCAGCAATTAGGGTCTAGAGTAGAATCTACTCTACTTCTTTAATTATTGGGATATATGTATCTCTCTCTCTCTCTCTCATCTATCTATCTATCTATCTATCTATCTATCTATCTATCTATCTATCTATCTATCTATCTATCTATCTATCTATCTGAAATGTTGTTTTTTAAATGATGGTATTTGTAGGGATTTTCAATCATCCAAGTCATGGTTGTCCCAAAGGTGCTTTTTCAGGAGACAACTGGACTTTCTTGTTTTTTCTTTGAAGATGTTTCACTTCTCATCCAAGAAGCTTCTTCAGCTCTGACAGGATAGTAGTAAATTGTGACCCTGAGAACACAGATAGACCTCCAAGTTCTTCAACGACCCTCTAAAAGGATGCAAATGACCAGTTGTTTGCAAGGAATATAAATCCTTCTATTCCCCACCATCCAGACAGACCTGATGAAGCTTCTTGGATGAGAAGCGAAACGCCTTCAAAGAAAAAACAAGTCCAGTTGCCTTCTGTAAAGCATTTTTGGGACAAATGATGGAATCTAAGCAATTCCTTTGGTTGAAGTTTATTTTTATTGTATTCTGTACTGAATGTTGCATGAGTTATACTGCTTAACTGGCTGGGTCTTAGGCAGCATATACATGTAAAAACCAACAGCAATTTACATTTCTCAATTAAAATAGGGCACACTGCTTGGATCCACACATATTCTATGGCCATCCATTTTGACTCCTAAGTTCTTGGGAAAAAACTCAGTGTATATAGAGGCCAACATCAACTAAAGAATTAGCTGTGGTTACACATTTTTGTAAATAAAATAGGAAGAATAGGAGTTGGGCACCTAATGTGTGGAATAAATAAATATATGCACAAATGTACTTCAAATTCTCAGTAAAGTAACACTGGTTTGATATGAACAAAATTGCTCTTGTTTTGGTTTGTATTTAAATTTGGTTCAACGGCTGTTTGGCATCTCTAAATAATTAGTGAATAATTAAATAATTCAGAAATAAAACTGCATATGATAGTCCTTTAGATTTAACAAATCTTGTAAAATTCCTTCTCTGTAGGAAAATTACTCCCTCAGTTTATCTTCTCCTGGAATCATTTTATCCCTTTCCCTCCTCAATTGAAAAAGATAGCGATATAAAGTTCTCCAGACAAGTGTTTAACTCATCTTTTCAAATCCATGTTCTAAGAATTGGCTCACATGGATTAAAAAAGAGGTTATTTTGAGATGACAGCAGGATTTGTTCAGAAGAGGTAAAGAATTTGGTGCTGAATGGACAGCTCCAGAAATGTTTTCAGCTAACTTGGTTGAATTTATAAAATAGGATTTAAAAAAGAGAAAGCATTCTTAGATAGTAAGTCCCATTGTGTGTAAGAATACAGATTAAAGCTTCTCCAAAAGGTAGTTGCATAGCCATTCTGGGTTAACATATGTAATTAAAAACAATGCATTATTTTTGTTTAACAGAATTCTCTTTTAATACAGCTGGGCCATAGTTTATGGCATAAACAGTGCAATTGGGTGGTAGAATTGATGGGGATGGGCAGAGATTATGTAGCCAAAATCATACCTTTTGTGCCTTTCCCCTGGAATGAATGATTAAAAGCTTGGACTTTTTTGTGTATTTTTACGTTTGGGGTAGATTAGTTGACCAAAGGTTGCTTTAACATTTACAGATGTTGCCTGTTTCAGCCCTTATGAAGCCTGTTCCCAAAATAAATTGTAGCCCCGGCTACTTTTAAAATAGATGCAGACCTCAGGCCAACAGAAATTGAATGTCTTAGTAATATATAGTCATTTTATTACACAGTAGAGTACAGCTATTTCATTGTTTAAAAATTGTGTGGTGAGTGCTAACAGATGAAAAGTATTCATTTTTTAAGTCATACTGTATATCAGTGTTTTATAGTTTTATGAAACTACACCTCTTTCAAAGATTTTTAATGACACTGAAATGCAGAGATAATTAATATTAAAAAGACATTGCACATATTACAGATATGGTCATCAATAGGATTCAAATTGGATATCAATAACAGGGTATTTCCTATGTATATTCAAATCTGTATCCACTCCATTATAACTAGATATCCAAATAGATAAGATCATCTGATAATGCAATAAGCCTATATCTTCTAGGATAGCTAATCATAGCATAAAGAGAAGCACTGTTGCTCACAGATAAATAGCTCCAGATAAACAAAAAGTAGCACTGAAGCAATAAAATCCCTGCTCATTTAGAAAGTAATTTAAAAAAAACTGCTGATAAATGTCTAGCCAATCAGATATGTATCATAAATCAAGATTTCCCAGCCTTTTTGTGGCAATGTGCATATTTGGAGTTTTGAAGGCATGTTGTCATTAATTTCATTAAATCAGCATTTCTCAACCTTGACAGTTTTAAAATGGGTGGATTTCAGCTTCTAGAACTTTCCTTCCCTTGTTAAATGATTGCCACTAAATGTTTGCCATGTTGCACTTGGTCAATCATAAAACATTTTATGTACTTTAAGGGAATAAAGCAGAGCGCTATACTTACGTTTTTAAGATTGCCTGTATGGCCTACTTGAGACCCAGAGGTATTGTTGTAATTACAGAATATGCTTGAGGCTAATGCTTTGCTGTATAGTAAAGTATTTCCTATTCATTTAATAGTAAATTTTTTTCAGAAAGGAATGTCAGTTGGTGAAGACTGGGAGATGACCTTTTCCCGCTATAGCCCAGGTTCTTCCCCCCTTTCCTCCTAAAAACCTGGGTATGTGCCTTAGTCTGGGATCCTGAGCGCCTGAGGGATCTGTTTCTTGAGTAAATATAGTTTATAGTTCATCAGTTATTTGCTTTTCATTTCTTACTGTCCTGTGTTTTGTTTTTATGATTGTTCGCTACCCAGTTTGCTACTGGTTTGAGTTGAGCAACTATATAAATTGAATTAATGATTAAGATTATTTAATAAATTTACCTTTCTATCAGAGTTAACATTTTCGTTTAGCAGAAACTTTGGGGTGCCCTTAAGGATTTGGGGATCACTTGGCCTGCAATATTAAGCTGTGCACCATGATACTAATTGTTTAAATCAGTTTGATTTTGATGTAATTCTTCCATAGTGCCCGTGTGTTTTCTCAGATGTAACTTTTCTTTGTTTACTTTTAGAGATGTTGACTTGGGTAATTTTCCAAAGTTGCTATT